TGGTTTTGGTTTTTAGCTAGTTTGTCAGCTATGTCATTTAGCATATTACTACTATGTGCAGTTACTTTTTGAAAATTAATTTAAATTTGATATGCAGTAATAAAGTTTAGGAGTATATGAATATTGGCCAGTAGTTAAAAGAGTATATTTTGTTAGGTGTAGGTGGTGACTGTGTGAGCTTATTGTATTTGAAGATTATTAATTGTGAGTCAGTATAAATAGTAATGGTATTCTGTTTTGGGCATATGCTAACAGCGGAGAGGATGCTGTAAGTTCTGCTTTGTAAGATAAGAACAAAGTTAAATTTCTGCTAAATATTGATACAATATAGTCTCATCTTGGATTTGAATCCAACTAATATCTATTTTGCATCTGTAATTAGTAATATTGCTTAAAAAGCCATCAGTATAAAATGTAAACTGTAAGTAGTGTGAGTTGTTGTATGCAATATGTTGGGGAATTTCTTTAGCTTAATTTTGTTCAAAGATGTCAAGTATAGCATTATTATATATAATAATTGTTCAGAGCGTAGCGAAAGACATTAAATGATCAGCAAAGTGATACAAAAGTTACCTTTTTGATACATAAAATGTTACATTTTTGATGCAATTATTAGTTTAATTAACAATATCACATCAAAAAAGTAATTTGAAAAATTTCTGTCTGTCCCATTGCATATCACATGATCTCTTTATTTATTTACAACCATTGCATATCACGTGATTACTTTATTTATTTACAATTATTTATTATTTATTATTACAACAAAAAAAATTACGAAATAATTATGATATTAAATATTAATAATAATACAGATCACATGAAGGTGAAATTCAATTTTGCATAATCTTAGTGGGTTTTACTAAGTTACAGTGCGGGTTTCACCTTTTGCTTTAATAATTATTAATAATTATTGTTATTTTTTACCTTTTCATAGTAGCTTTTTATTTCTGTTTTTTTTTATAGCAATTTCTATTTGAATACTAGCATATAAAACACGGGTATATTGATATTTCTAACAAAAAATATTTTTCAAAAATTTTAGTATAAACTATCACCTCATGAACTCTAAAGCTAAACTTAGTTTAACTTTAAATCGAATCTATTTTTTGTTTATAATTTTATCTTACATAGATTTAATAAATAAATCAATTAATACCCGTGTATATAACCTATATGCAATTAGAAATTTTCTTTTTTTATTTATTGCTTGAAGCAACTAAAAAATTATTTTGAATTTGTTATCATTTTTTTATTTTGCAACATACATTCAGCAATTTATTGACTTATTGACTTAATTTTTAGGTATCAAGAAAACAAGGAGCTCTTCTTCACATATCCTCTCTTGGACTCTTTTACAAGCTTTAATCTGGCATAGTCTATCAAAATTGAATGGCCTGAAAAGTAGATCATTAAGTGCACAAACCTGAGACACTGCAACAAATGAAAGGCCAGCAATAAATTCTTTCTTTCCAATATCTATAAAGGCTTTTGGTAAAGTGAGCCCCTGGCTTTTATGCACTGTAATTGCCCATATAAGACAAAGGGGAATTTGCAGGCATGAACAAGCATTTCTTGACTTACCTTCTCAGGTACATCGAATTGGCATAATTGGAACTACATTTATGCCTTCTATGTTAGTAATTGTAGGACCTTTGTAACTGTCAAATGCTACAAAAACTGCCACAGGAAGGGAAGAAGGTCCATAATCTTCAAATAAAATGTCTTGGATAGTACCCAATGAGCTGTTGACAAGACCAGCATTTGTCCAAATATTTGCTGTCAACATAACACATGAGCCTCTTGCCAATAAAGCCTTGCTTCAAGACCATGTGCTGTGTCAGCATCTGCACTTTTTGCATCTGTACTACCAGTGTGTATAGCAAGAAGTTTTGCCACAGGAATGTTTAAAGATCTAAGCTTATCTATATTTACGATATTTACATCAGACCACTTTGGTAAAATATAGGTAGTATATGAAAATTGTTCATGTTCTGGCCTGTTCAATTTTTCCTTGAATCTTGTAGTAAGTAATTTCCAGTTGTCTAGTATAGACTCTCCATTACGAAGTCATAAAAGAACATTTCTGAAACTTTTTTGTTCTTCTGAATTTTCAGCTTGCCATTGAATTATATCAAGCTTATATGCCTTCTTGAATTGTCTGTATGCAGTATGACCGTTATTTGATATTTGATCTCGCATTACATTGGTGTACATTGGAAGGTCTAGCACAGGAGGAAGTTGCCCAAAATCACCAACCAGAACGATTGACCTATCACCAAAGAGTTTATTCCTTTGTTCTAGAAAAGCTTAACGTAGCCACATGTCGATTAAAGCGAGCATGTGACATCTGATCATACTTTTCTCATCTATGATAATATATATTACACCTTCTAATCTTTGTTGCAACTGTCTCAATCGCTCACTATTTATGTTTATTTTGTTATTATTATCATTTAATGTGATTGAAAGTACAGAGAAATCATCATATCATTAATATTAAAAGCCACAGCACCTGTCAGTGTAAGTATAAGTACCAGTGATTTAGATCCAATTCCTGCCATTTGATGAAGTCAATGCTGAATTGCTTTTATAGGGTATGATTTGCCTGTTTCTGCAGTTCCTAATATTATAATTCTAGTGGCTCAATTTGACAACCTGCAAGCACACTATTGTGATGTGACTTGATTCGCTTAAACACTTTCATCTGGTTTTCATTTAGGGTGTTAGGATCTATACTATCAGTATCTGAAATTTCATTCCCTTCTATTTGAGTGTTGCTAGAAGCTTGATGTATAAAAGTGTCGATGTTCACAAGGTCTGTATAAGAATAGCATTGCCTAGCATCATCAACCCATCTATGATTTAGATCCATGTTATGAGATCCTAAGTTGCAAGAATCCTCTATTATTGAATTTGGCCCCATCTCTGCCAGTAACATCCAATCAAACCGACTTTCATTTTGTTTATCCTCTTTAATTAATTCACCATCATCTTCATCATCAGTAGTTTCAGTTTGCTTATTTACAGGAAGTCCAAATAAGTCGACTAGGTCTTCATTAATTTTTTCATGATAATGATTATATAAAACTGACCACTTTACATTACGTTTTCAGTCAACTGCTCAATACTTCTATGTGGAACGTGCAGAAGAACTTTTATTCGACAGAAGTCCTTCCATTGTGGACCATTACATAAGGGTGATGGCCATGGAAAGATATATAAAATATTTTCATGATCACATTTGTTTCATCGATTTCATGTAAATTTATAGATCATGTTAAGTTGAAATAATGATAAATTCTCAAATTCTGTAGGTCGCTCCCAATATAATTTTAACAGTGATTTTGTTGTCTGACCAACATCACCTGTTCTATTATACTCACTATTTTCATTGCTGCCAGTACCGCAAAGCCATCATGGTGCTTCATTATTAAGATTTAGAGTAACAAATAAATGACTAGAGTGGTAGAGAGGAATACCTAAGAGAATATGACAGGTCTTCTGGGCTAAAATATCACATTCAGCAATGATATGTAGTAATAACTTTTGAACTGATGAGAGCACTGGATTTTTAGGGTTATTGGTTTGAAGAATTTGACTTAATATTTCCGAAAAAGAGGCAGACTGTGGTTCTGCTTTACTTGCATATTTTGAAATGTATTGTAAAGCTGCGTGGATGCTGAGAATTGGTTTGATGTCTATGTTTGCCATCCAACCCTGTAATTGAAGCCGATTATGAGGGTTAATTAATGGGTCATTTCTTGTCATTACAACCTCTGGTCTGCCATGCCCATCATTATGCAGAATTGTATGATCGATAATTTCCTTAGGATACCCAAATCTACAGGATTGTTGTCTTCTGTTTGCACGAAGACAGTAAGAAGGACTACAATGTGTATGTCTTTGTACTTTATTAATAAGTTCTATATAATCCTGTAGGTCATCGTTTAGCTCTTCATAACTCTTTTGGCATGGATGGTGATCCGGAATTGGAGCATTTATGTCTGGGTTAATAGTAGTTACTGAAGCATCAATATACTGCACTACTTCAGTCATTAAATTTTCATCATCCTTGATTCTTGACAAATCGATTAGAGGTGCATTTCATCATTTTCCAATTCCATGCACATGAACACTACCACGATGTTGCCATTCATATTGGTACCACCAATCTTCCAGGTCCCATTGCTGTTTTAGCACATCATTAAAAAATGTTTCAAAGTGCTTGTTGAAAAACCAAGCAGCAATATGAGGATTATCGATTACATTTTTATTATACTATGTCGATTCAATTTCTTCAACAGAGACATCCAATGATGCTATAAGTTTATGCAACTCTGGCCAATATGTACTGGTGGCACTAAATGTAAAGAACACAAGCTGACGAGAACCTATTTGTTTAATTATATCCGATAGTTCATGACACCGTGCCATCCAAAACTGTTGTGACTCGCGCAAGCCTTCACTATATCGCATTATACGATCAGCGATATATTTATCACCTTGAGCAATCATATCCTAAATGTCTTTAACAGTAAGTTGCTCATCACTTAAGTTTTGTCTAACATATATCCTTCCCTCCTGTAGTGCTTTCCATCTCATTATTGAGTTCAGTGCAAAGTATCTTCAGCATGTATGCCATGCAAATCTCCCATCTTTGTATTGGAGTAAGTGTTTAAAATATTCAGCTGGATTGATATCTCTATTATGTTCTGTTCGAAAGTCAGCACGTCTGGTTGGGTAAAGTGTTGGAAATGCATATACAATATAACCTGGTGTTCTAAATTCATTAATCAGAGTATTTTCTATGTTTGGCCAAACCATAGGACTATTATTATTTTGCATACGATTAAGGGCTTCATTAATAGCAACATCTTCACGATCAATAGAAGGAAGAGATGAAACAAATGTGCATATAATTACATTATCTTCCGTTTCATTATCTGAAACTTCAGCAAGTATTTCATTACTAGGGAGCTGATCTTCTATGAAACCATTCTCAGGTAAGGATTGGAGAACTTTTTTATCAATGGTTATTTCAGCATAATATCTATTATTTTCTTTTAACCACCTTAATGCATTAATAACCTTATTATGACAGACTTGAAAATCTTTAAATAATGCTGATCTTTCTGAATGACAATGTACAATTAAAATATTTAATGATGATGGACTTCATGAAAGTCGAGTAGTAAACTCTCTTACATTCTGAGGAAAGTTAATTACATTTCCACAATACCCATATTGTCCTCCACAAAGTCTGTATACAGACATTACAGGAAAAACCTGTGCAATCAGCATTTCTTCTATTTCTGTAAGATTTTGCAATTCTTCTGGTACTTCTTCAGGATCCATGTCATTTTCGGAAGAGAATCTTTTTGGAGTTATTCTTTCGCTACTACATCTACAGCATTCTCCCATAATGAGAGTTATTGATAAAAACTTCTCATTACATATTAGACAAAGTTTGTACTTGACATTATTCATTTTGATACGAAACTTACGTAGAAGATCAAGCTTAAGTTCACTAAGAATTGTGGCAAAATGTGATGCAACATGCGTTATCTCAGTAATTTGGTGACTAGACCCTCTTGAATATTATTATCTTGATCATACTGTTCACTAATATTTGATGTATGCAATTGATATATTTGCTTAAAATTATTATTTTTAGTTGTGGATTCTTTTTTTTGACATTTTTGATAATAGTTATGATCTTTTGCAAGGTGCGTTTCTCTCTTTTCTGGAGTTTCTGCAGCTCTCTTTTCATGCTTTCTTTCACGATCTTTAATGAGTCATCTTTCATGTTGTTTATCAGTTTTATTCTTTCTGTATTCATTTTTTCTTTGAGTGCTAGATTTAACTTTTTAATTATCAATTTCATAAATTACTTTTTTTATATAAAATTCAGTTAAGTATTTTTTAAATTTATGATCATGCAATTTATATAACGTGTTTTATGTTAATAATATACTGATACTTTTTTGACAGTATATATTGTACAACTTTTAGTTAAACACCCCTGCATTGAATTGGATTATATATTTGAAGATATGTATGTCAATTGTTTTTTAGTTCTTTTTATCAAAGTAAACTTTAATTCATTATTTTCATATTAATATTCTTATTTATTATTGTCATATATACTAATAGAATTATTAGGATAAGGTATTTTATCCTGAGTAGCTACATATTAATTTTTATCCATGTTCAATTCCTACTATTACTTACTATCATCAAATTATTTTTTTTTTAATAAGCTTATTTTTTATTATTATTTATTCATTTAACTTGTTTTTTTAATGTTGAAAACTTTATTTTAAAAACAATTTGTTTTATTTTCTAATAGAAATCTGTGCAAAAAGAAAATTATTAAGTAGTATTGACACCTATTTTTACTTCAATGTTTTTTCTATTACCCATTATGGCTGATTCTGTTCATACTCCAAAAATCAAAACATCTAATTTTAGAGTACTTACTTATATATTACTATATTTAGACAATGGAAAAGCATCAATAAGCTAGCTAAATTTGAGGTTGTGCTTAAATTTTAGGGTCTGAACAAAATTCACTAATAAATATGTAAAATCTGGTCTTCCTATTAATGAGATGCTTTGAACGTGTAGAGATTGGAACTGTTTAAAAATCTCTCTATAATTACAAGCAGAATTATATTGGTTGGGGCCATAATTATTTAATACTGGCTGAATTAAATGATTAAACGATTAAATGATTATAGCTATTATCATAATTCATGAAACATCTGATAAAATTAGTCAAATGGTTTTTCCGTGATTCAGTTAAGCTTGTAATTTCAGGATAATGATACAAAATTGTATATGTATGTGTATGTACTACATAAGCTATACGTTAAATAGTGCAATAGCACAAAAGTTTTGGCAGCATTAAGATTTTATATGACAGTTCTATGAAGGTTTTAGGATTGTAGTAAAATTGCTACCCAAAAAAATTTCGAAATCATATGATATTGTTAATTCATCATGATTAGAACTGTAATAATAGTATTGATTAAACATTAACATAATTAGGTAATTTATTTCTTCGATTCTTCAAAGTGAAACTGATTATCAAAAGCATAAAATCTAACATACTAATCTAAAAATATACATTGATTGCCATAACCAAATTTCTACTAACAATAAACGAAAAATTATAAAAACTAATTAAGAAAATGTGATTATATCAAAAATCGTGTTAACTCAGATCTTTGCCTTATTTGTTATTGTTTGTTTTTTTAATAATTATAATTTTTCACAAGATAGGTAGAATGCCAAAACGATAATACTATATTAGTGTATTATTGTGTCTGGAGTGAAGTAACGGACCTATACTTCTATAACCATAGGCAGAATATTGTCTGATTGGCTAGCTTCATAGATCAATTTGTAGATCTACATGTGATTATTAGCAATTTGCAATTCAATAATATTACAGTTCTAAAAGAGAAAACTTCAAGAAAAAGTTTATATAAATCGATAAATACATATGATTTATTGGTTTATATACATATAAAAGATAGATAGATGCATATAGAGAAGAGTCAAAATGGTAAACAAAGCTCGAATCACTAACTCTACTATCTACAAACCCAGGTTGATATTTATAATTAATAAATCCATATGTTTTAACAAACAAGTCAACTTAAAAATATCTTAAATATAAAGCATAGACCTTATACATGAACAAGCTTGTTTTATTTCAAACACTTAACTTGAAACTTTAAGCTTTAAAAAAAAACAACTGCTTTATTAATAACTACTTTTGTTTTTGTGCATTTTAAAATTTAGTTATAGTTTTTTTTTCTTTACCTTTTGCAGAAAGTCGTGTCTAAGCTAACCCTTCTTAAATTAGAGATTATTAGATTATTTTTAAAGTTAGCTTTTTAATACTTCTTCGAAGTTAAATATGATGTTCTCAAAAAATACTCTAAAACACATAAATAAATTACTTGGACAATTGATTTATATTAGCCAATCTGATGAATTTTTGCTTATAACCAAATTTGCAATTTTTGATGCATTTATAATAAAATATCAAAAACATGATTTTAGCATTTTTAGTCTGTAACATTCTTAAAACTTATATATAATCAGATTATTTAGAATAGAAATTGGAATCAGTTTAGTTGACTAATTAGTAACATAGTTTATTATATAAATTTTTAGTCAACTAAACTGATTTCTAATTCAGAGATTAAGCTTATTAATTGAACAATTGTTATTAGTATAAAATATTTTAAGCTTCAGACTTATACTGGTTTCTGGTTCCTAGTGTTAGGTTGTGAGGGTATTGTAGTAGAGTTTCGTAATGTGATAGAGTATAGTAGATCAAGTAGATTTGCATGAAGATTAAGTATAGTAGAGGAATTGGAGTTAACTTTTCTGCCTAGGAATTTGGTTGTAAAGTTGATAGAAATATTAAATGTGCATTTGTTTTGTATACAATTGGAATTGAAGTAGCACCCTGTGCATTGTTTACAGGTATAGTTAACTGAAGGGTATAGGTGAGTATATGAGTTATCAAAGTCAATTAGCCAATGTGTTATAGAGATTGTATCTTCTGTTTTGTTATATTTTCTTGCTTTCCTATAGTAATATTGTTCTGTTTATAATTATAAGCAATTATCCAAGGTTTGGGTGTATTTTTGTAGTGTTCTGTAGTGAATAAAATAGAGTTGGTGTAAGATAATTGTAATTGGGAACTAATTAATCTGGATTGATGATTAGCGTAATTGTGTTTTCTAAAGTAGTAAACCATAATAGCTTATGGCCTTTAGGTATATGTTGAATTCTTGGAGATATATGTTCCTATTCAAGTAATACAGAGTTATCATGTGATGTTAGTTGTTTGAGGTACATTATCTCTTTAGTACATAGTTATTTTTTAAATTGTATATAAAGTTTATGTGTAGTAAGGAATTGTTCAATTGGTGTATATGGATGTTGAATTGTGTAGGATCTAAGAATATTGGAGTTGACTAGAAAAGTTAGCTGAAATTTGTTAAGCAGATGTATTATTTTATAAGTAGTTGTATTTTTGTTAAGTCCATCTATATACGGGTGAGGATGTTGTAAAATGTTAGTTGTTGACCTTAAATTGTTTTGCAGTTGTTGGAATCAAATATGAGTACTAATGCCCATTAAACTTAAGTCATTGATACGAAGTTGAAATTTTGATATATAATGTTGTGCTTGTATATCCTATATGTTTTTAATACCATATATGTTATGGTTAAGTAGTGTGCTATTTGGTATAGATATTAAAAGTTTAGCTTTGTGTTTTGCTGTAATAAGGTATTGTGATGTGATTTGGTTGCATATTGTATATGATAATACTATGTTGTGTATGTGGTACTCTAAGGTTGGGATAATTACAGTATTGATAATATAAGCAGCTTGTTTGTCTGTAATATTTTTAGTTATAAATATATTGTTCAGTCCAAATATTTCTTGTTGTATTAGTTTAGTTTGTATTGCATAGTGTAGGGCAGCTATAAACCAGCAGCCTAGGAATTTAAAAAAAGTGTTATTTGGTTGTAATTAAATTGATTAATTCATGAAATTGATATGTATAGTAGATTTGATATTTGAGGTTAAAAAGGATTTATGTGAATTAATTTTATATAAGCCATTGTATAGAAGAATGCAGCTGTTTGAACAATTGCTTGAAGTTGTTCTATTGAGTTTGCAAGACACAGTATATCATCCATATATGCCAATACAGTTGTAGAGGCAGTAGCAAATTGATATTTACTGAGACTAATTTGAGTAAGCCATTTGGTTATAGTAGTATAGCCAGTATATGTATTATGTATATGACTTATTAAGGGATCATAGTAGATTTATCAGAGAAGAGGAGTTATGGTTTCACCTTAATCTATACTATTTTGTACCTTATATGATGGTATAAGTCCAAGATTAGTAATAATTTAGTTAGATCGATCATAAAGAAGATTAGCAAGTATGTTAACTAATTGGTAGGGCATGTTAAGTCTCTCAAGGGCTTTAGTTAACAGGTTTATGTTAACAAAATCATAAGCTTTACTCATGTCTTGAGATAGAATCCAGATATCTTTTTTAGTACATTTGGCATCTTTAAGAAAGTTATTGAGTATATGAATTGGATTGTTAGTTGAATTGCCAGGAAGTGCAACATAATTATGTGAGTTGAAAATTTGGTGTTTTGTTAAAACATGTGATAGTCTGTTAGTAAGAATTTTAGTATATAGTTTTTTAGTATATTCAATTAAGCTAATATGTTATGTATTGCTGAGATTTCTATCAAACTCTGGTTTTTTTAAAATAGGATATATTCTGCTGCATTTCCATTGTTTTGAAATGTTTTGTGTAATTAAACATCTGTTGAAAAATGCTATAAGTGCTGTCAGCATATTGGGACCTAAGTGTTTAATCATTTCATAACTGATTTCTGTTGGGCCGCAGGCTTTGTTGTTAGGTAATTGTTGTATAGTGCTCATAATTTCTTCAATAGTAATTTTTTGAAATATAGAAGTATAGCATTCTCTATTAATACTATAATTAGGTTGGAAGATATCTTTCCAATTATTGTTAAAAATATCTTCATCAAGTGGATAATAGGCTGTCCATTCATTGAAATAATTGCTAACATATTGTTTAATTTCTATAGGATCAGTAATTAAACTATTATTAGCTTTGATATTTTGAAAGTGTACTGTGTCAGTATGTTGGTTTAGTATACTATTGATCATTTTGGTTGGTTGAGTAGTTAGATGTTCACATCATTTGTTGGTGGCTAGGTTAATATGGTTTCTAAGGTGTTTAGCATTCTCTAGATTTCTGGCATTGTAAAGTGTTTTCCAAAAAGTTTTTGTATGTTGTATCTATGTAGTTAGGTTGGATTGGTGGTTAGAAGGAGGTTCAATAGTAAAGTTATAAGTGTTGTTAATGTAGTTAATTAAGTTGTGAATATTAGTAGGTAATGGTATTTGGTAAGAGAAATATTTTTTGGTATGATGTATTATATGACCTATAGTTTTAAGATCATGGTGTAGTTGGGTTGTTTTTGGTGTAAATATATGATGAAAATTTCTAACAATATATTTTTTGTTAGGAATATGTTAAAATGCTGCATTAATAATACTAGTGTGTATTTTGTGCCATGTTTTTTCTAAGCTTTCTGCTGTATTTGCTGCAGTTAAGGTCTGGTGTTAGAATTTACTTGATCTGTAAAATGATGTTCAAATTTTAAAAACAATAAGAAAATGATTTTTAATGAGATTATTAACACGATTCTTAAGAATATCAATACTGGAACCATTTTGAATTTATTAGATTAATTTTAGAAGATGAATACAAACAAATTTTTGATTATTTTAATTTTAAAATTAGTAATATAATGTTGAATCAAACTAAGATTGTTA